CATAAGCAAATGCAATACAACCGGAAAATCCGGTGTGTGGTCGTGGGCAGGTCAGAAATCAACAAATTGATCGCGATCGAAATCAAATTCCGGACGGGGCCAGATAAATGCATACAGTCACAATAATTATCAAAACAGTCCCTGATATGTGCCAAATCGGCTTTATAATGACAGAAGGCCGTACAGACCTCAACAGAGGTTCAATGCCAGAAGAAACAGAAACAATGACGAGGAATGCACCTGGGGTGGAATCAAAGACGATTGGGCCAATGTTTGTCACATAGCCAGTCACTTGGCTGAACTGTATCGGGCCTCAAAATAAAGACTTGCCCCTGAACAAATCACGCTACCCACGGTGACACATTTGATGATGTGGTGAATAAAAATGTCATGCACCTAGATTCCGATGATCAGCTTGACATAGCTGATGATATTAATGATAAAACGTTGTTGTATCTCTTTTGTTATTTTGATGCTTCCGGCCCTCTTTTTGTATTATCCCCTATAATATAAGTCTATTTTTTATTATATTACTAATACATATCTTTTATTATTTCTACCTTCTTGCAAAAATATGGATGTCAAATATTCTGGAGCCGATGACAATATTGTCTTATCGACAATGCTATGACTCACAACATTCTGAAAAATTAAAAGTTATTTCTCTCATCTGAACGTGGGAAAAAACACTATTGTTACTATCCGTGGTGCATCGAAAATGATTGAAGGCTCAGGGAAATCTACTGTATTTTTTCCTAAATGAACAAAAATGACAATTGAAAATGTCTTGCTCTCAAGCAAAGTTCATAAGAATTTATTGAGCTTTAGTGACATTCGAAAAAATTGAGATTATATTGAAACATTGAATGAAACAGAAAATGAGTATCTTCTAATAACTTAGATTATAAATGGCAAAAGAATTGTGAAAGAAAAATTACCATCTTTCTTTTCCGGCTTGTATTACTCAAAAGTCAGTGTCGTTGAAACATATTATCTAGTTGACCAAATGACTACTAGCGAATTTAAAATTTGGCACGATTGACTTGGGCATGGTGGCAATGTAATGCTAAGTCAAATTGTTGAAAATTCAAATGGCCACCCATTGGAAAAGAAAAATATTTTGAGTCCGAATGAATTTGATTGTGTTGTATGTTCCCAAGGGAAGTTAATAATCAGACCATCTCCAAAAAAGTTATATTTGAATCGCTAGTTTTTCTGGAAGAATTCAAGGTGATTTGTGGACCTATAGATCCACCGTGTGGACCCTTCAAGTATTTTATAGTACTACTTGACACGTCAACGCGATGGTCACATGTATGTTTGTTATCTACTCGCAATCTAACTTTTGCTAGACTACTTGCACAAATAATTAAATTGCGAGCACAATTTCCAGATCACCCGATAAAGAAAATACGTTTAGATAATGCCGGAGAGTATTCATCACAAACATTTGATGATTACTGCATGTCAATTGGGATTACTGTGAAACATCATGTTCCCTATGTACATACGCAAAATGGCCTCGTTGAATCCCTTATCAAAATATTGCAATTAATTGCTAGACCATTGTTAATGAGGTCTAAACTTCCCGTATCAGCTTGGGGACATGCTATATTGCATGCAGCAACCATTGTAAAAATAAGGCCAACAAGTTATCATTGTTATTACCCTACACAATTAGTATCTGAAAAAGTACCAAATATATCTCACATGCGAATTTTTGGATGTGCTGTTTGTGTGCCGATTGCACCACCACAATGCACGAAAATGAGACCTCAAAGAAAGTTGGGTATATATGTTGGGTATGAATCACCCTCGGTTGCAAAATATCTTGAACCAACAACGGGTGATTTATTTACTACAAGGTTTGCAGATTGTCACTTTGATGAATCTCATTTCCCGACATTGAAGGGATACAATAATCAACTGAAAACATAAATTTCGTAGAAAATACTACTTGAATTTGATCCTCATATGAAATATAGTGAACTTGAAGTTCAAAGAATTGTGTATTTACAGATAATTGCAAATAAATTGCCTAATGCTTTTAATGATGCTGCCAAAGTTACAAATTCATATATTGCAGCAGCAAATGCACTAGCTAAAATAAATATCGCAGAAGGGAAAGTGCCGAGTGCTAATGAGCATTATGCCCGCGTAAAATGTGGCATACCGTTGGGTTCCAAGAATAAGAATCCACGAAAGAAGAAAGTTGTAAGTACTGGTGAAGATATCAACAATGATTAGATACCTGAAAATGTCAGTACAACCCCTGAAGAGGTTGATACTCAAAATTCTGATGAAAGTGATGATGAAGTTATTAAAACTTCTGTTAACTATACCGCCAGTGGAAAATATTGGAACAAAAAGAAAACAAATGTTGATAATGCATTTGCATATTATGTAGCACTCGATATAATGAAAGATGACGAGGATTATGAATCAAAATCAGTTGATGAATGTCGGCAAATAGATGATTGAGAAAAATGGAAAGATGCAATTAAGTCTGAATTGGACTCAACACAAAATAGCAAGTATTCGGCCCCATAGTCCAAACACTTGTAAATGTAAAACCTGTTGGCTACAGATGGGTATTTGTGAGAAAAAAAATGAAAATAATGATATGACAAGATACAAAACAAGACTTGTAGCCTAGGATTTTTCCCAGAGACCGGGCATTGATTTTGAAGAAACATATTCACCCGTCATGGATTGAATAACATTAAGGTATTTGGTGAGTCTGATAGTACGCGAAAATCTTAATATGCGATTAATGGATGTGGTTACTACTACCTATCTTTACGGCTCCTTAGACAATGATGTCTATATGAAAATTCCAGAAGGGTTCAACATACCTGAATCATTCAAATCAAAGCCAAAAGAATCATATTCCATCAAATTGCAAAAATCTTTGTATTGGCTCAAGTAATCAGACCAAATGTGGTACAATTGTCCCAACGAAAGTTTAGTAAAAGAAGGTTACATAAATGACCTTATCTGTCCACGTGTTTTCATAAAGAAAAACTGGTTTGAATTTGTAATCATCGTTGTATATGTCGATGATCTCAATTTGATTGGAACTCTTGATGAAATTTAGAAAGCTGTTGAATATCTAAAAAAGAAGTTTGATATCAAAGATTTTGGAAAAACTAAATTTTGCCTTGGTCTGCAAATTGAGCACTTGAAAAGTGGAATCTTTATCCACCAATCAAATTATACCAAAAGGGTGTTGAATCAGTTCTTGATGGATAAATCATATCCACTAAGTACCCCAATGATCATCAGAGCACTCGATCCAACAAAGGATCCTTTTAGACCACAAGAGGAAAACAAAGAAAAACACTTGGCCGTGAAGTGCCATATATGAGTGTTATAGGTGCAGTGATGTATCTTGCTTACAACACTCGACCTGATATATCATTTGCTGTAAATTTATTGGCAAGATTTAACTCATCGTCTACTCGACGACATTAGAGTGAGATTAAACACATTTTTTTGCTATTTCCAAGGAACAATTAATCTCGAGTTATTTTATTCGAAAGATTTTCGGTATGAATTGATTGGTTTTGCCTATACATGATATTTATCTGATCCTTATAAAGCCAAGTCTCAAATTGGCTATATATTCACTTGTGGCGAAACGGTGATCCTGAAGATTGATGAAACAAACTTTAACTGTCACTTCTTCAAATCATGCTGAAATATTGACAATACATGAAGCTAGTCGAAAATGTGTTTGGTTGAGGTTAATGACTCAACATATATAGAAAAATTGTGGGTTAATACCCGATGATAAAAATTCCCCCGACTACATTGTACAAAGACAATACGGTTTGTATAACCCAATTGAAAGGGGGCTATATTAAAAGAGATAGAACGAAACATGTTTCACCTAAATTCTTTTTCACTCATGATCTTCAACAGAATGGTGAAATTGATGTCCATCAAATTCAATCATATAATAATTTAGCGGATATATATTAACCAACGCATTGCCGACTGCTACATTTGAAAAATTGGTGAAAAAAATTGGGATGCATCGGTTAAGAGATCTCAAATAATGTTTAGATCAGGATGAGCAAACAAGTACAAGAATGTTGTACTATTTTCCCTTCATTAGGATTTTTTTTCCCACAGGGTATTTTCCTAATAAAGTTTTAACGAGGCACATTCTTCGTACAAAAACATCTAAGGGGGAGTGTTATGAAATGTATACTAAGTATATACATATACCCAATGTAGAGAAAGTGCGGATGCTTTTGTTGATGTCACGAATCATATACGTAAGCTAATCATTGTAATAATTTTAGCCGCATTCGTTGATCTTATTTGCTTATAAATAATGAAATTCATTCAAATGAAAATAGTGCAATTTTACTCTCTTTATATGCTTATTCATTTACCTTATATATATTCTACTTACATACATATATAATAATTAACACATTACAGGTGTGTTTGTTTGGGAGTTTGAATTTTGAGTTGAGATTTAAATAGTAAAAATTTTGAATTTGAATAGTTGTATAATGTGATATAAATATGTATTGATGTGATTTTTGAATGTAAAATTGATTTTTAGTATAATATAAAAAATAAAAAATAAGTATTTAATTTAATATTTTTGAAAAAAAAATGAATTGAATAGTATACTTGGGAAAGAATCCCTAAACAAACCTACCATACGTACATTTGTAATCATTACACATATTTAATGCATTCATAGGCACATGCATACATATTCTTAATATATATTTATACATATTATATATATATTATTATATTTATTTATATCATATATAAAATAATGATTAACGGGATAATTAATATTTATATTGCTAATTCTAATAATAATTCTATATTAGAATTAGGCTACTTTCAAATTATTTGTCATGCATACAAATCGGGTCCAAATTGACTGAACTATCCTCCAATCCTTACATTTACTATTTTGCCCCCACCAGCCCTTTCAATTTTCAAAAGGATGCCACTCTGCTTGTTCATTCGATATCATAAACAACACCCCTTCTTCTTCATTGCACAGTCCTTTCCCTCGCAGTCGCACACACATACTTTTCTATATTTATTTTCATACATCATATCAAAATTCCCAGTGACAATTCGACCCAATCTCCTGTCTGTTGCCTCAGAGTCGCATCGTACCATCACGAACGAAGCTTTTGAATCTCAACTCGGATCGACGGCGGAAGGAAAGAGCAAAGCTTTCAGTTTTGAAAATGATTTCTACAGTTGTTCTTTCAAAAATAGAATTGATTCGCCGCCAATTTCGGTAAGATAGTTAAGAAAGTGATTCTAAACCCTTCAGCTAGGAGGAAAAATGGGGTTTCATAGTATTTATGTTCTTTGATTGAGTTAAGCATATTCTGGCTGGGTTGGAACAGAATCAGATTGCTCTAAGCTTTCACAAATTCGGTCTGGATGTCGGATTTCTTGGTGTAGCCGTCGGTAGATCCGTTCTATACTGGCTAATTTTGACAATGGCCCTAAAACCCAAGCCTCGTACCATTCTCGAAACCCTTGCTGAATCCGCCGTAGCCCTTGATTCTACCAACTCGCCTCTCAAATCTCTTGTCATCTCTAAATTACCTGACGGCGGTCAAACTGTAATTTATCTCGGCACTCTCTCCGGCGCACTGTTACTCTACTCGCTCCGAATTCCCCCAAGCGCGCCAGCCGAAATCGCTTTCCTCAGGCGTGTCAGTATTCCTCGCTCAGTGAATGCTATCCATCCTCTTGTGCGCATTGGAAAGATTTTGGTGGTTTCTGAAGGGTTCTTGTTTCTGTTTGACTCTGGATTACTGGAGCCTGCTAAGAGGATTAGCCTCTTTAGAGGTGTTACATCTTTGTCCTGTAAATTCCGAACCCGATATGGTTACATCAACGGAAGCTCCCAAAATAATTTTGAATATGCTGAAAATGGGAATGTTGATAGCAGCAATTTGGTTGCAATTGGAATTGGGAAAAAGTTGGTGTTGGCAGAGTTGATTTTGAGTGGATCCTTGGTAATTCAGAAGGAAATTAATGGGGTTCTTGATGGGTCGATCATTAATTCTTTGTGGGTTGATGACTCTATATTTATTGGCACCAATTTTGGATATTATTTGTATAATTGTGTGAGCGGGAGATGTGGGTTAATCTTTTCACTGCCAGATTCTACTGTTTTGCCGCGGATGAAATTGTTACCAAAGGATTTGAGGGTTTTACTAATGGTTGATAATGTAGGTATTATTGTGGATATGGAGGGGCAGCCTGTGGGAGGGAGCTTGGTATTTAAGGAGGCTCCCGATTCATTGGGAGAGATAAGGAGTTATGTAGTGGCAGTAAGGAATTCCATGGTGGAGTTGTATCATAAGAAAACAGGATGCTGTGTTCAGAGGTTTGTGGTTGGGGATGGAAGTGGGGTTACGTGGATACTGGCAGATGAGGAGAGTGAAAATGGGGAGCTTGTTGCTACTGCAACAAGCTCAAAGGTATACTTCAGGCCCACTGTAGCTAGATTTTATGTTTCTTATTCTGAATAGACAGATCCCAATGATTGGTTTATGCAAAACAAAATTATTGGATGAAAGTCAAAATCGCCTAGTTTTATGAATGGTGATACATAAACTCTTCTATGGTTCTTGTATGTTGCCTCATGCTTGCATGATATGGTAGTTGGCATGCTAAAAACTTTAAAAGGAAATTAAAGGATATTAAACAAAAGATTTTGCGTTTTACATGTTACCACCGTATTAGATGGATTTATTGCATCTGGTTTCATATAAATTCTGTACGAAAAGCTTATAACAAAATTTATGGTACTTATTGATGATGGTTGAAGGTTAATATTTAGTTATACCTGGCTTTCTATGAAGATCCATTATTAGATTTATTACTATTATTGATACTAGTTGAGGCTGGGGATTTACCAAATGGTATTGATTGCTCGTTTTTCCAATGCTTATTTTGACCTCATAAAGTGTGCCATGTTTTAAAATTGAAGCTTATATGCTATGGAAAAGTTTCTGGAGAAGAACAAATCAAAGATCTGCTCAGGAAAAAAAGCTTCAAGGAAGCCATCTCCTTGGTTGAAGAGCTTGAGAGCGAAGGTGAAATGACAAAGGAGATGCTTTCTTTCATCCATGCCCAAGTTGGTTTCCTGTTGTTTTTTGATTTGCATTTCAAGGAAGCAGTTGACCACTTCCTGCTTTCAGAAACTATGCAGCCTTCTGAACTTTTCCCCTTCATATTGCGTGATCCAAATCGCTGGACCCTATTGGTATGTGCTGTCATTTGTTCTTTGTGCTTGTTTAACTTTTCTACTTCATTCTTTTTTAATACCACACATGGATTGCATGTTCATCCTAAACAATTACTTGTGAGCAATATTCACTGATAGTCTTGCTCATTATGTTATCCATCACGAACTGGCTAGTTCTCATACTATTTGTAGCGTATAGTTTCTAATGAGATCTTAATAGTTGGGGAATTAGCTGCAGACAAAGAACTGTAAGGTGTGTGTCAAAGAATAGCTGAGTTATAATGTTGTTGAGATATTTTAGATATTTAGTTTTAGATTTGTTAGATTTAGATTTAGATTTGGTCATTTCCATTATATTACATTATTTAGATTTGAGTCTATCGAGTTTGTTTTAGGTTGCCTATATATAGGGCCCTTATTTTGATTATCAAGAAAGAAAGCTTTAGAGTTTCTGCAAAATATTTTAACATGGTATCAGAGCTCTAGGAATTTTTCTAGGGTTTTGTAGTCTTCTTCAAGCAGCTTTCATCTGTGTTTTGTTCTGGCCTTAATTGCTGTGAATTTTTCTTCTTCACTAAGTCATGTCTGAAACCATCTCCAAGGGAAAGAATGATATGCCTAAACACTTTGGTAGAGATAACCAAGGGAAAGAAAATAAAGACAATCTTTGGTGTACTTATTGCAAGAAACCCAGGCATACAAGGGAGAAGTGTTGGAAGCTGAATGGTAAACCTCCAAGCCGAGAGTGGGGCTACCGTGGGGGGCAGTAACAAAGGCCTCAAGCGCATATGGCAAAACAGCCCACTATTGAGGAAAATCCAGCAATAGGGGGGTTCAATAGTAAAGAAATTGAGAGATTGAGAAGTTTGTTGGGGACTCTTGAGAAGCCTTCAGGAACATGTTCAATGGCTCTTTCAGGTAAATCTGTGTGCACGAATGTCTTAGACAAATTATGTACCAACTCTTGGATCATGGACTCCGGTGCTACAGACCATATGACCCCCACATCTCAACTCTTCCACACCTATACCCTATGTCCAAGTAACAGAAAAATTGTTATGGCCGATGGTTCCTTAGCCACTGTTGCAGGGATTGGAGATATACATATCACACCTAGCCTTATCCTTAAAAATGTCCTCCATGTGCCCAAACTGTCAATAAGCCTTGTTTCCATTCAAAAGTTGACTCATGATCTTAAATGCTATGCTGTTTTTTGCTCTTCTTATTGTGTTTTTCAGGACCAAGACTCGGGGAGGAGGATTGGACTTGCTAAGGAAAGGAACGGTCTTTACCACCTTGAACCATCTAAAAAACCTAAGAGTAACTTGCCTTCTTCTTTTCTTAGTTCCTCGAATAAAGATGCCATTTGGCTATATCACCTACGTCTTGGTCATCCTTCTTTTAGGATTTTAAAAATAATGTTTCGTCATTTGTTCCAAGGATTAGATATTTCTGAATTTCATTGTGACATCTGTGAATTGGCAAAACATATCCGTGCATCTTTTCCTATTAGCAATAAGAGAAGTTCTCATCCTTTTCAGTTGATTCATAGTGACATATGGGGTCCTTCCACTATACCTAATGTTTCTGGGGCTCGTTGGTTTGTGTCCTTAATTGATGATTGCACTCGGGTCACATGACTCTTTCTTCTTAAACAAAAATCTGATGTTAGCACTGTTATACTTAATTTTCATTCAATGGTTCAAAATCAATTTGGGGTCAAAATAAAAAGCTTTAGGACAGACAATGCTAGAGATTATTTCAATCAAATTTTGTCACCTTACTTTCAATCATAGAGGATTATCCATGATTCATCATATGTGAAGACACCCCAACAAAATGGGGTAGCTGAAAGAAAGAATAGACATTTACTCAATACCACCCGAGCCTTACTGTTTCAAGGGAATGTTCCTAAGTCCTATTGGGGAGAAGCCGTTCTTACTGCCACATATATGATAAATAGACTTCCAAAAGCCCCATAGAGGCTCTTCATAGCTTTTACCCTCACTTCAGAACCTCTAATGGCCTCACTCCTAGGGTATTTGGGTGTACCGCCTTTGTTCATGTTCACAAACAACATAGAGGGAAGCTAGACCCTAGAGCCATCAAATGTGTTTTCCTCGGTTACTCATCCACTCAAAAGGGATACAAATGTTACAACCCCTTGACCAAAAAATTTTACATCTCTGCGGATGTCACTTTCACAGAAAATAGACCTTTTTTCAAGTCCTCTCTTGAGGAGGAGATTTCAATGATGGAAGATAGTACTTGTGAGTCTTTCGAACCACTTAAAACCCTTGACCTTCCGCATGTGCCACCCCGCAGTCACTCAGAACAAAACCCTCCTCATGTTCCGGTTGAACCTGAGTCCTTTGAACCAGTCACATTTGAGTTACCCGATCCTGTCACTGAACCCATATCATCTCCTTCTCCAACCAGCATCACTCACAATTTTCCAAAGTTTCCTCAGGTGTATTCAAGGAGAAAGACTGTTCTGAATTGACACAAGTCCAAGAATCCAATCCAAATTCTGAGAAAGAAATCACGGTAAGATCAGATCCACCTTTACACACACAATCTGTTGAACAGTCCACTGATTCAACTACTGTTCTAGATCTTCCCATTGCTGTTAGAAAAGAAACCAGAGAATGCACTAAACGACCACTCTATCCTCTATCTCACTATTCTCTTTTAAGCGCCTATCGCCAGCCCAAAAGGGATTCATTATGAGTTTGAACACCATTGCCATCCCTCACAATGTGTCTGAGGCATTGTCAAAAAGAATGGAGGGATGCTATGAGAGAAGAGATGAATGCATTTGAGAAGAATAAAACATGGGAGATCGTTGATAAACCAAAGGGAAAAAACATTGTTGATTGCAAATGGATTTTTACATTGAAGTACAAGGCTGATGGATCCCTTGAGAGATATAAAGCAAGGTTTGTAGCCAAAGGATATACTCAAACTTATGGGGTGGATTATCAAGAAACATTTGCTCCAGTTGCAAAAATGAACACAGTAAGAATTTTGTTATCATTGGCTGCTCACTTTAATTGGCAACTGCTACAATATGATGTTAAGAACGCATTTCTCCATGGTGACTTAAACCAGGATTTGAAGGGGACATTGGTAACAAGGTGTGCAAACTGAAAAAAAGCCCTTTATGGGTTAAAACAATCTCCTAGAGCATGGTTTGGCAGATTTGCAAAAGTCATGAAGGAATTTGGGTACAAACAAAGCCAAGGTGACCACACGCTTTTCATTAAGCATTCAGCTGTAGGGGGAGTGACTGCTCTTTTAGTCTATGTGGACGACATCATAATGACTGGAAATGATGAGAAAGAAAAGCATGAATTAAAGCTGAGACTAATGAAAGAATTTGAAATTAAAAAACCAGGGAAATTGAAGTATTTCCTTGGTATTGAGGTGGCATATTTTAGACAAGGGATCTTCATATCTCAACAAAAGTACGTGCTTGATTTATTGGCAGAAACAGGGAAGATTGGGTGTAAACCGATTTCTACTCCAATAGATCCAAATTATAAATTGGGAGAAGCTAAAAGAATGTACCAGAGGTTGGTTGGCATACTTATATACCTTGCTCACACTCGACCAGACATAGCATATTCTGTAAGTTTGATCAGCCAATTCATGCATGATCCAAGAGAACCTCATCTTCAAGCTGCTTACAGAGTATTGCACTAGGCAATCCAGGGAAAGGAATCTTGTTCAAAAGGAATGACACTCTTACTTTGGAAGCCTACACCGATGCTGACTATGCTGGCTCCCTAGTGGATAGAAGATCAACTGCAGGGTATTGTACTTTTCTTGGAGGTAACGTAGTGACATGGAGGAGCAAGAAGCAGAATGTAGTGGCAAGGTCATCAGCAGAATCATAATTTAGGGCAATTGCTCAAGGATTATGCGAATTACTTCGGTTGAGGATCATTTTGGATGATTTGAGAGTCAAATGGGAGGGTCCCATGAAGCTTTACTGTGACAATAAGTCAGCTATTAATATAGCTCATAATCCTATACAACAGGATAGGACAAAGCATATTGAAATTGATAGACATTTCATCAAAGAAAAACTGAAGGAAGGGTTAGTATGTATGTCCTATGTTCCGTCAGAGAGACAATTAGCCGATGTTCTAACAAAGGGGCTGAACAGTTCGAGTTTCCATGATCTTGTATCCAAGCTGGGAATGGAAGACATCTATTCCTCAGCTTAAGGGGGAGTGTCAAAGAATAGCTGAGTTATAATGTTGTTGAGATATTTTAGATATTTAGTTTTAGATTTGTTAGATTTAGATTTAGATTTGGTCATATCCATTAGATTATATTATTTAGATTTGAGTCTATCGAGTTTGTTTTAGGTTGCCTATATATAGGCCCCTTATTTTGATTATCAAGAAAGAAAGCTTTAGAGATTCTGCAAAATATTTTAACAGTGTGGCTTAACAGTTGCAAGTTCTTGGGATTTAGTATGGTGGATTGGTACATTTACAACTTGATATTTTCTCCTGTGCCTCTATGTCGCTTGTTTTCTAGCCAAGTGAACTGCATACATTTCTGTGTATCATTTTTTAAAAATGTTCTTACTACTGTACATTATTTGTGAACTTATAGGTTGCGAGGAACAGATATTGGGGCTTGCATCCGCCTCCAACACTCCTTGAAAATTTAATAGACGATGGCCTGAAAGCTATTCAAAGAGCTGCTTTTCTAAAGAAGGCAGGTCTGGAGACTGCTGTGGATAATGAGTTTCTTCTAAACCCACCTAGTAGAGCAGAACTATTAGAATCTGCAATAGAAAACATTATAAGGTGTTTATGATTTTATTTTGGGGTTCTTTGATGTTTATTATATTCTGTTTCATTTCTAGATCGAATTTACAGTTCTCTTTGTTTGTCTACAAGTGATTTCAATTTATGTCTAACTTGATTGCAAATTTGACTTTCAAGTTCTTATCAATCTTCTTTTGCTACAGATACTTGCAATCTTGCCGTGGAAGAGAACTGGCCTCTTCGGTAAAGGAGGGAGTTGACACTCTTCTGATGCAAATGTATAGAGCTCTAAACCGTATTGACGACATGGAAAGTCTTGCATCCTCTGAGAATAGCTGTGTGGTGGTATGTATCTCTTTCCATATCCCTTCACTCTGCTGAATGACGTATTTATATGTATTGAACTCATTTTTATGTGGTATATAATGTGACAAAGGAAAGTGTATCCAGTCGATTCAAGCAGTGATTACTTGAGTTACTTATAAGTAATAGTATTCGAACATCACAATTCAATTACTTGTTGTTTGAAAAGTTGAGGAGCACCATTTTTATGTTAAGTCACATGCAGTAAGGAAGAAAGAGAGGGTGCAAAGGCTGTAGACATTTGAGAGGAATTGGTAGAAGTATGAGAACACTTGTAATAATGAATAATTGAGTGTCATGATAAAATTGAGTTGCTTAAAATTCGTTTAAGGGGCCGATCGTGAAAATTTAATGGGCAGTGCAGGAGGAGCTAGAAGCACTACTTACAGAATCCCGGCATTTACGTACACTTGCTTTCTTGTATGCTAGTAAGGGGATGAGCGCTAAGGCTCTTTCTATCTGGCGTATATTGGCAAAAAATTATTTGCCAAGCAGCTATAGCAAAGATCAGTACGAGGCAAATGATTTACAAGGTATCTCTGGAGCGTTCACATTTGGTCGTGAAACTGCTGCCTTGGAAGCTTCTAAAATTTTGGAGGGGTCTTCTGATCAAGATTTGGTTCTACAGCACATTGGGTGGGTATGTAAGCAGAACTTTTATACCATTCTGTTACTTTTAACCTTCTGTTTTGATTCCAACAGGCAATATATATATATATATATTCCATGTTTTATGCCAAGGAAATGTAGTCTGTATTGTATATGTTGTAAACTTTATGACACATGTATTGTTTCTTGTTTCTGTTTTAGATTGCAGATATCAGCCAGGTGCTTGCTGTTCAAATTCTGATATCAGAGAAACGAGACAATTTATTATCACCAGGCAAGACTATCAATGACTGCAGTAGCACCACATCTGCATCCTTATTTATTTATATTTATTATTATGAGATTTTAATCATCAATAACTCTTCAAGAAGCAGTATGTTTAGTTTCCATAATTTCTGTATGTTAAATAAATGGGTTTATGAATTATAAGATTCCGGAGAAGAAGAGTCTTTGTAGTCAGGTTTATCTTCTTATTATGGAAACAATTTCAAAGCAGCCTCTCTACAACCATATCCTGGAACCTGACATCATGTACAAGCTATATATTTTTATTCACTCCTCGTGCTTTAGTTTGTAACCTTCTTTTCACATATATTGCATTTCTCATTACAACCTTAATTTCAGATGAGTAATTGAAGTTAACTACTCTGATTATTGACACTTTTCACAAGTCGTAATATCTTATTCATGTAGCCTGATTTTCCATCTACATTTCCAAGAATTAAATTATACAGTATTTTATCTGATTTGTTAATTAAGTATGAAAAATTCATGAGTGTGCTTCTAAGTTATTATTTCCCTGTCATATTACTGGGTTGCTAGGTGCCCCTTATATATTATGTCATTGGAAGGATGTTTTGGCACTTCTAATCTCATGACCGTGAGCGCACAATTTGCATGCTGCATTCTGACTTAAAATGAATCTACCTCATTGATTGTTTGAACAATTTCTTCAAATTGTTGAAAGTTGCTAAATAATTTGAATTCTTACAAAATGTATTGTTGATCTTGCAACCTGTAAAATATGAATGCATACATTCAGTATTTGTTTATCTCACAATACATCACTAGTTTCTTATATTGCTGGTTAATTACTTGCAATCTCTTCTGTTATAGATGAAGTAATTGCTGCAACTGATCCCGAAAAAGTGGAAATTCTTCAAAGGTATCACTTGTTGAACACATTTCCCTATTTAACTTCAATGTACCTTTAAATAAATTTCCCTCTTCCCAGTACACTATTGGTTAGGATTCACAGGAGTACCCACATCCTTGGCTCGCAATATTAAGATTTTGCTGATAAAGCCTGTACATACTTCTGTTGAGACATGACTACTCTTCTGGTTTCTACTTGCCTTAATTAGCTTGTCTAAGCTTTTCATTGAAATTGACTGTAAAGAAAGACTTTAGTTGTGGAATACTCAATATCATTCACGTATATATCCAACGTTTAGATAATATATAGAATGTTGTTTAGAATAAAGTAACGAGATCTGCTTTTTCTCACTCCAATTTTTTGACCACTTGATTAATTTTTCGAACCATGTGGGTTTGTTTGAGGCTGAAAAAAGACTTGAGGAGGTACACACCTTTCCCTGCTTTCTTGGGAAAACAATCCTGGTGGTTTTTTAGTAATACATTCTTCATGAAGATCACTGCTTTGTGGGTGCATTTTTTAGCATCTAAGTAATAAAGAGGCTCTTCATTCATTGTTGCTGCAGAATAAACAAATATTAAACCAAATAAGAAATTGTAGGAATGAATCTGTTTTAGCAATTAGCAAGAACACGAACAAATTTACATTAATATGCTTGAGTGAAGCCTTTGGCCACTAGACTAATTTTGAGACTAGCGATTAAACCACCTTAGTTGAATTTATTAACCCTCGTTGATATCCTGTAGCTTTCCTGTAGATTCATTAACTCCCAATCACATTTGTTTTCAATATACATAATCGCTATTATCATTGTATTACACTAGCCAATATGTGCTAGTGCTTCAATAATAATTTATGGGATAATTAGATGTTCTGTATGAACATGAAGTCATCAAAGCAATAGAATTTGTAGTTACGTACTGCCTCTTACCTTCCCAAAATGAAATTGGGAGATGATCTAGTTCAAAGTTGCCTAGATTTAATGCCAAAAAAGACAGCAGTGGCCACAATTTGGGTATCTTATGGTGAGATCTTTAAATATGAGAAAGCGTGGATTTTCAAGATCTCAAATTAATCATCTTATTTGAAACATGCCTTATCTTCTGAAAAGGGGATGCTTTTTCTACCATATTGATTTTAAACTAATGCCTCTATATTATTGAAGATTGATGAAATGTAAGGTTTCCTTTTTTTTTTTTTTTTTTTTTTTTTTGTGTGTGTGTGTGTGTGTAGGTAGGTATTTGGAAGGCACTTATGCATTATGCCAGTATGCTCTTCTCCAATTATGTAAAATTGCAAAATCATAATGAAGTTTATATCTTGATATTTTTTTTAATTATTTTTTTTATTGCACAGTAAAATGCATTATGTTACACTATATTTTGCCAATATTAACAATGCAATGCTTGCATGATGTGAGGCAGATATCTTCAGTGGTTGATTGAATCCCAAGGCTCCGATGATCCTCAGTTCCATACAGCATATGCTCTATTGCTTGCTAAGTCATCCCTTGAAATTGAGATGAGTGATGCTGTGGTTGGAATTCCAAAAAATGGAATGGAAGTATCTGAAATTGGAAGGAGCACAATGTTTGATATCCCTGTTAGGGAAAGACTACAAACCTTTTTACAGTCATCAGAATTGTATGATGTGGAAGAGGTTCTTGATATGATTGAAGACTCAGAGCTATGGCTAGAAAAGGTCCTCGTATGCATAGATATAACTGCTTCATTGAAGACTTTATCATTTGACACTATTCTGCATATGAATTTTGTGCTAACGGACAACTTGTTTCCTAATGTTGCCTGATTTAGCTTCTTTATATCTGATAGGCGATTCTGTATAGGAGGCTTGGTCAGGAAACGTTAGTGCTGGAGATTTTGGCCTTGTAAGTTCACATATTATATATGTTACTTGATCTGTCATTGGGACATTGGATTTCATTCTACTTAAAAAAGCTTGCAAATATTCTTTCAAAGCTATTCTATGTCCTACCTTTTAATTACAATAATGCTGAATTAGTGATTCCTTTTGTGCATTATCTATTTTCCTTTCTTTTTTCGTGTTATGATTTTATATTACATGACTGGATATTAAGGATATGTCATTCATTAAATTTGTGATGAGATGGAGTCATGATATGTATTTGTTTGGCCTTTATGCTCTTAATAGGAAATTGGAGGACTGTGAAGCTGCCGAACAGTATTGTGCAGAGATTGGTAGACCAGATGCTTATATGCAGTTAGTCTTTCTCACTCCTCTCTCTTTCTGTCTCACTTGCGTAAATACATTTATCTCATTTCCCTTTTCCCTTCCTTTGTGGAGGTTACTTGAGATGTACTTGAATCCCAAGGATGGTAGAGAGCCCATGTATAAAGCTGCTGTCCATCTTTTCCACAATCATGGGCAACTTCTGGATTCATTGCAAGTATTGGAGGTACAATTTTACATGTGAAACTTCTTGCACGAATTATGAGTATATAATTCCCGTAATCTTAGTATGGAGGCTTTAGAAAGATGTGTTGTAGCATATTTAATTACTTGCAGTAAAATACCTCTGCACACAAAACTGGTATACGACAATGGTTGACAAATATAAAAGTTTGTTTGGTTGTGGTTTGAAATTGATTTAAAATGAGGTGTTAAATTTTCTTTTTTTGTTTAAATAGTGTAAATTATGAGATGTTTATTAATAATGAAATTAAGATCTATTTATATATACCTTATACAAAAGTATGAAGTCAAATAATAACCTAATTTAGTGAATCTAGTAAATATATCTAAATATAACTACCTAATCTAATAGATATAATTACATAATATTTGGCAAATCAAAATAATATCAACCAAAATATCTATCTAAAATATATTTTAATACCCTGCCTCGAACTTAAATTGGTGATATAGAAGTCAACTCGAGTTTGACAAAAGAAAGATATTAGTATTCAAATCGATTCTCTATCGTGGCGGGGCACCTTAAGAAATTAGTATGTTGGCCAAATTAAGGTCTCTAGTGGCGTCAATCCTCTTGTCGCGGAATCACGCTGACGATTCTCTGTCGCAAAGGCTGTAACTCTAATGAATTAAAGTTTGGCCAAGTTAGAATTTTTAATCGTCACAATTTTCTATCGTAGCGGCAGCATCAAAGTAGAATTTCTTATTATGGCGATCCCCTGTCGCAATGGCACCGACAATCCTCTGTCGCTACGGCAGCGCTAAGTCCTAAGAAATTAAATCCTAATAGACAAAAACTTCAGACAGATAATTGAATAGCAAAACAAAAAATCTTAACTAAATTGGAAGTTGACAAATAAGTTGAAAATATCTCATTATGTTGTAGTTTGGAATTTCGAGAAATTGAACGCCGAACACATTTGCACATGTAGCCAAAAGTCGGCGGCAATGAAATGGTTGACCGGTATTCACCGGCGTTGACCAACACATGTAATGTGCTGTTTTTGAAGATTTATTTGGTGGCAAGTGTATCTCAGAAAAAGAATATGGTGGCGGTAGTGTGAGGTTACAATGGGTATATATTTTGGAAATGTTAGGAAGACTCATATTCGAAAGGCAATCCCCTGGGTACATTCCAAGTTACGGGATGTATCCACATGGATTAGTACTGTTTATTCAGAAAAGTATGACTTTGATACTATGTTAGACATTTCTGAGATGTTTATTAATAATGAAATTAAAGTCTATTTATAGATGTTATACAAAACCATGAAGTCAAATAATAACAACCTAATATAGTAAATCTTGTAGATATATCTAAATAATCGATACGATTAAATCATACTCCATCTAGCAAATCTAAATAATATCAACCAAAATATCTATCTAAAATATATTTCAACAAATAGTATTTTGATGTGATGTTTTGTGAGATGGAATAATGTATTTTTATTGAAAACTATGTGGGATGAATGTTGTGGATTTGTATTTGAAATCATTAACAAACCCAAAGTGCCCATCTTATTACCAAATTGAAAGTGGATCATTTGGATGTTCCCTTTTGTTAAAGTTGAATGACTATCCTCATATTGCGAGATTAGACTTAATTTGATAAATCTATTTCTCTAGTTAGTTCTTCCCGGTTCCTCCAAGTGGTTGAAGGTACAACCCTATTTGTTTCAATCTAAATATTATGGTAACAAATGTTTTGAATAACAATAAAAGAAGATAGAGTGGGAGAGTAGATTACATATTAGAATTCTTTGTATCTTTTGGTTCTTCGAATGTGACTGGTGACTGGGCCAAGGACGTACCTATTTGTATTTACCCTCACAATTACTTAATATAATATGATGTGGTAGTTATACGTTAATACTATTTTGCAGAGATTATCTCCAGATATGCCCCTCCAGCTCGCCTCAGACACACTATTAAGAATGTTGAGAGCTCAGCATCACCACTATCGTCAAGGGCAAGTATGTATTTCGCTTGTCTTTTCCAATTATTTTTATTATTGTAGGTGTTAGTGGGAATGGTGCAGAGACTCCGTGGCAAACCAGCACAAACCCTGTGTAAGCACCATGCTAGAGTGAAAGTGAAATTTCTAAAAAGAAAATATAAATTCAATAATTGATATAAAAGAAAACATAATATAACATGTCAATAACCTTTAACAAAATAACAATTTTCACGAACAGAGCAACTTTTTCCCAAGGGACCTATTCTGCCTAATTGCATTCACCTTACTAATATCATCCTCTACATATTTTATGATCGTCAGGTTAAAATCATGAACGATGATGCATTTTTCTTTGATTACAGCTTTAGTGTAATTTTTGCATCTTTTGTGTTAAATGCGGTATTTAATAAACTGTTTGGCGCACTTTTTTGGTGAGTAAAGCACACGTACTCCACAAAATTCTTCATCCTGTCATATGAAATGCAAGCCGTAGGATGTGGGAAATGGTATAGTAGACTGAATGTTTTTTTCATGCCCCTTTCTGTGATGTCTACTCTCCATTCTGCTCGATTTATAAGTACAAGCACGATCTCATGTCCCTTTTAAAGATTGTGAATCTAATTTATCGTGAAAATATGTTTAATCTCTAGCAGGATGTTAATATGAATTATAAATTGGGAAACCTCTAAGCTATTTCTCTCTACAGATTGTGCATAACCTTTCCCGTGCCTTGGATGTTGATGCAAGCCTGGCAAGGCTTGAAGAAAGGTCACGCCATGTGCAAATTAATGAGGAAAGTGTTTGTGATTCTTGCCATGCTCGTCTTGGTACTAAACTATTCGCCATGTACCCCGATGACACCGTTGTTTGTTACAAGGTATGTTGTGTCTTTGTACCCTTTTGAGAAACGTAATTGCAATTTTCTTACATTCCGAATTGGAGGATTAAAATTAAAGACGTTGGTAGAATCAATCAATCACTCATACACTCACAGGTCTTTGAAGTTGTTCGTATTTTGCACTTAACTATTTTTCTATTGCATTTACCACTGAGGTTTCTTTTCAAACCTACATGCAGTGTTATCGGCGGCAGGGCGAGTCCACATCTGTCGGTGGTCGCGACTTTAGGAAAGATGTTTTGGTAAAACCCGGTTGGCTGGTGACACGATGATGACTCTTTTAAGCATTAAGTGGCAAATTGGCAAGCTTTATTGTTATTATTATTATTCATGGATGATACTTGAACATTCGATCGATGCAAACGATGTCCAGAGGAAGCAGGTGACATGATTGAAGGAAATCATATGGGCTATGGGGGCAGAAATAATTGAGAAACAATAGTCTCTCTCTCTCTTAACACTAGACTAGAATAAGGAAGGATGTTTGTACATAGAAACATGTGTTGTATTGAGGTTAATTTGTTGGTTGCCAAAGACACTAAAACATCTTCATTTTGTATATTTCTATGTAAGAAATACAAAGACTTAGCCTTTTGTTTTGGACAATGGTGCCTCTTTTTTGTTTTTTAGTTTTTGTATTATTTAATACAAGATCATTGTTTATCTTTCTTCTGAATTTCTCTTTGTTTTTTTCATCCTAAAATTTCTAATCTCTTAACAAAACTAAGATACAAATGAACATAGTTGGGGTTTTCCTTTAAAAATAGATTAGAGAATAAGTTATTCCCCTTCTTAATTAGTCATGCACGATTTGTACCATTTTTCTACAGCAAAAAATTCTAGTAGAATAGTGAATGCAGTTTGTGTAGTTTATATTGGCATTCTATCCTCAATGAAGGGTTATTACAGAATTTAAACAAACAAATAAATAAATCACATTTTAAAATTTTGATTAAAACCACCAACAAGACCCAAAATGGGTATGGTATGTCTTACTTTGTTGTTGTTTGCTCAGTTGACTACTCTAATTGTTCTTAGAATAGAATATCACATTTCACTTGTGAAAAACATGGGTGTGTTCTTGGTTTTAAATAATAAAATTTTGAATTGAAACAGTTATTTAATGTGATATAAATATGTATTTATGTGACGTTTTGAATGTAAAATGAATTTTTTGTGTAATATAATAAATAAATAATAGGCGTTTGATTTGATATCTTTTTGAAACAAAAAAAATAAAATTGAAATAGTAAAATCAGAATAAAAATCCTACAAGTAAAATTAAGGTAAAAATGGTAGTGTATTTAATTGAAATCATTATGTATTAACTGAAATATGCAAAACTTATTTTGAAATTTTCTTATTTTTACTTATGTAATTGAAATATATGCCCACAAAAGTACCATTTAGGAATGAATGTCATTGACAAAAAGTAAATACAAAAAACTTTTGCATCCTAAAGATTCATTGTGAGGTTTTAGAATGAAGAACAAGGCTCCAATCAACCAGCCTAAGCTTTAGCTTTTCTTTTTCATATTTTAACTATTGAACTTATTATTTTGTATTCAATAGTAAGTTTTTTAAATATAAAATATTACATCTAATGATCACGAAGTATGCATCCATACCATAGTTGTTTTTGTTTATTTTATTTATTTTCGTCATCATAATTATATTGTTTATTTATTTATGCATATTATTCTCACAAATTGCAATAAAAATGTTAACCTTCTTTATATACTTTGTTAATTTCTAATCTTGAAAGTATTGATTGTTAGTACTACATAAAGCAAAAATTGATGTTTGACTTGTGTGACCGTGAAGTCATCAGTTCAAATCCCAATATCTCGGGTCATCTGCCTCTAGTGTGAGTTGTTTGTCGGCCTAGTTTGCAGGATATTAAATTCGACTGGTAGTTTACCCAGTGCTCACTTTCGAGTAGCAACCGTCAAATTCCTACGTCAACAAAAAAAAAAAAAAAAAACCCCAATAGATCCTTTACATGGTCTTTATCATAAAATGGTGAGTTTTATTATGTAAGTGTGGTTGATGGTTTGTTTCAAACAAAAATTATAAATATAAAAACATCTCTAATATGTTGAGAGTTATCATATGAGATGTTTATATTATTAGAACATGAAAATTATGAAACTATCATACTGCTAAATTCTAAGTTCAACACTGTTTCCTCGTATCAACAAATACAGAGCATGTTTGGTTGTGTTTTATCACCAAGTTTCACATTATATATGCTTAAATTTGACGCATGTTCGAAAACTACTTAGAATGGATGGCAACCAGTACTAAAAGTGCACTGGATAAACCTTCGGCCGAATCTAATACCTTCCAAATTATGCAAACTAAGTTCGACAAGACAAGTCACACTAGACGAACCATGTGTGACATGGAGGTGTGGGGGATTTGAACCCATAACTTCATGGTCGCGAATTCACCCCACACCACTAGGTCATCTCTTACGAGACTTGTTTTTAACATGAAATGTGGGTTGGGTGTGATTGGTAGTACCACAGACAAGAAGCATATGTAAATCAATAAGTATACTCTTTCAACCGTCTAAAACTGTATAACCTATTTATTATATAGACAACCTATTTATTTATTTTCTCATCAAACTTTTAATACTCATTTTGTTCTATTTTAACTCATTCTCAATTCAAAATACCAAAATAAACCAAAAACGCTGTAGGGATTCCCTTGCTTTTTTTCCCTCTCACAAACACACTTCACTGTATCTACTGTCAAAATGCTCTCCCTAGGTATCATAGGTTCTATTTATGTTCACTTCCGGAAATTTTATCATTTTTCAAAAAAAAAATTCTAACAAATAATATAACACCAAATTCATATTTTTTATCACAAAATATCAGGTCATATATTCAGCCTTCTAGTATTTCTAAAATTTTCATTAACTCCAAAAAAAAATTGTGTCCAAATGAAGCCATGGCAATAATCACTCATGTTAAAAAGAAAATTCATGTATCTACATATAAAAAAATAAATAAATAAATAAATAACCAACTATTCTTCCTTTATCCACCATACTCTCTCTCCAACTGATGATTGTGCTTGTGCTTGTGGACAATAATAATACAACATGACAATATTTCATATGCATTAATAAATGAAGCACCCAGCCTAGCCTAGCCAACCTCATTTCTCACTCTACCCCTAATACCAACATAACAAAAACAACATTACATGCCAATTTCTCCAAATGAGTCTCACCTTATTAAACTTAGCTCACCACCTATATATATATATATATATATATATATTCATATTCTTGAATCTAAACAAAGCCTTCAAAAATCATAGGGTAAATCCACTTTCAAGCAAGTCAATATTTTAGACTGTAACTCAATTCCCAACAATCATTATCTTTTCAACCCTCATTCAAAAATAAAATATTGGAGGTATGAGCAGGAGCAACAAAATTTGATACAAGATACACTGGATCGGAACTGTATACAAGTAAATATTTAATGACTATACAGAATCTCAAACCTATGGAAAGCTCGGTAAGTTGTCCAATACCTGGTATATTTTCCCAATAAGCTTGGAAATACTGTGACTAGTTGAGTCATGATTCATGCATCTTCTTGGGTAAATTAATCGTGGATAATGAAACTTCAGCAAGGTTTGAACGGTCAGGTCAAACTCAAGAGAAAGACTTTGCCTGTTGCAGGATCTGGGCTTCCAAACAATTCAGCTCCATATACTGGCATGCACTGGAAACTCACTCCACTTTAAATAGTGTTCTGAACTTGATAGTTTGGAATAAATTATAATTCAATCTAGTGAAGAAGTTATGTAGCTAGAGTATTGAGACCACATTAAATTATCTAGATATACTGGAAAACATAACATAAAAAAAATTAAAATTAAAATACCTGTCATAAATTATGTAATCAATCAAAAGAAAGCTATAGCCATGGCTGGGAAAGAGAAATTGCAGAAGTTGATGCCTGGAGAGATTGATGGTCATATATTGCAGATTTGAGAATGTTGTACTGCTCACAAGTAGAAGAATACAGTGCATTGGAGTATGCAATCTTTGCCTGCACCATAGATTATCATACAGTTTGAATTTTTAATACAACAACTTTATAGTGGGCATATAACAATTCTACCGTAAGTAAAAGCAGTGAAAAAGGACTCCTAGGCAAGACCATGAGTATGCGACTCTGTAATTTCTTACAAATTTATCAAATGCAGATATAACATGCCTGCCCAGCTAAGCCGAATCTATTCACCACATGATGTTAAAATAAATAAATTAAATGATAAAAACAAAGGATGCACTCCTAGTCATGGATGTCAAAATTAACGTAAGTGTCGGAACTTTTCAAGATTTTCTACTACAACTCAGCAAACCAAAAGCGAGGGGTAGGCTGCTATCTCAGTTAAAAACACACATTGCTTACAATGAATGATTAAACGAAAATTACCAAGATGAGCTATAATAACTTCAAATATAATATATGATATTTTAGTGATACCCAAGATCCAGAAATGTTAACATAGCATATACTCAGATCTCAAGCATCTGCTGAGAAGGTATATTAATTGTACACAAAAACATCATCAAAATAATAAAATAATAATAATAACCCAGAGCTACAAATAAAACCAGTTCTGCCAAGGGCATTGCAATTACAGTTTTGCACGTTTGATCCCCCTTCTAAATATTTTGAGGGAAAGAACAACTCAAACCAAACATAAATCACAACTGCAAAGTTTAACTGAACTTCTAGGCCATCAACAGAGAAGTAGCACCTAAGCATGTATGTCACCCTCCAACCTAACAAGGACATATTTGCTGAAATACTGTCGAGACATCCAGATAATGGCAGACTGTCTATCTACAGCCAATAACAATGTACACTCGCAAATAACAAATTCATTGTGTGGCTTTAATCTCTTGTATTTCTCCCAGTACCATGCACCTTCTATGACCCTGATCTAACATAATTTTCCTTTGTAAAAAAAAAATGCCAAATAAAAGAGTGGTGTTTCCTTGCTCTGACAGTCAGTGCTCAAGCTTCATAGGTTATTTACATTTCTCTTTTTTTTTTTTTTAATGAGTGAACTGTGTTACAATAGGCAGCTTGTAACATAGAGCTAACCAAAAGTTTCCCTGTTTCGGTTTTAAGTATCCATTATTTTTGTGACTGGGCAAGACTTTCCAGAACCCAGCAATACCACATTTTCACATCTTCCATATAGGCTATTGTTTGCACTTTTTTTTTTTTTTTCTCTTTTAAATCATTTGTATCAGAGGTATTGTCCAAAAATTATATAGAGCATGCAATATGCCAGAGACAATCAGAAATTTGAGGTAACCTCTTCAGAACCCTTGAAAGCTGCAGTGACGTCCCTATAGCTGATTTCTGGGGCTGCTGATAAACCAACTCCGTGAAAGGATATCACTCGTTTCTCCCCAATTTCTTTCTCAACCTATCATCAAGTCTGAGTTAAATTAGGATAACAGGGATTTATAAATGAAATCAAATCAACATCAAACACAACCTGAAGTGGAGGTGGCATAATATCATAGCACAATATTGCCAAGGGGTATATATGGCTAGGAACATCAGCATGTTCTGCAAGCCTTCTCATGTTGTCCACAGAGGAAGCATCAAAAGGTGCCTGCAAAAATAGCTCATAATGAGCTGATCAGACATACTAAGAAAATACGGACGAGGCAAGTAGATTAAACCAATTAACTACACATTATTTAAACAATTACATCCCCTCGTCCTGTCAATGTAATAATTTCTATGCCAAGTGTGGTGTGCAAGGGCATGCCTAACTCCTAGTCTGGCTGTGGTTTCTTGTCCATCTCCCTGATTTTCCTTGTAACATTCATATTTCTACCTACTGTTCTCCCATTTTCACATATATAAAATTTCAAATAAATAAAACTACAAATTATTTGTTAGCAAGTCAACATTCCAAAACACAATAAGAACACATTCAATTTCTGCTACTTTATCATCCAGGCATTGCACTATGGTTGAGAGTTTTTGGAGCCATGACAGTCAGAGCAAAATATGCATTATCAATGTGTGGTACAAAATCATATATATATATACATATATTTGTCCTATAAGCATTTTTGCAGAAATAAAACAAAGTTCCAAGATAAACAAAAAGTACAACTTATTTTTTAAATAATGAAAAGGACAGATCAAGAACAGAAAAGAAGGAAAGCTTTTAGAGAAGATGGAAAATAAATAAATACAAATTAAAGTACAAAAAAAGGAAAAATAAATAACTAAATAAAAGGCACAGTAGTGATGATTTCAACACATTACATGTTAATTAAAAGATACAAAATAAATAATTGGCAGCCTTATGTAACAGGTTGGTACTCTAGATAAAACATACTCAATGTGCCCAGTACAAGTGCCTTAGTGCACCAAGCACCAAGCATAACAATGCAAGAAGGGAACTAGACCAGCTCCATGCTCTGAAGCACACACTACAAATAAATATGGTGATAACAAGAAGATTTCCATGTATGTGTTGAATCTTTGGGTAGTGCTTATCATCATTTGATTGTTTTTTTCAGCCAACCAAAGGCAAACATCCAATCAAATAAGCTTATACTTGAAATATATTAGCAAGTTTGAAATTTGAAAGAGATTCATGTTACAGCCTCATTGTTAAATGATCTGTAACTTTTCAGAGAGAGATCAAGATACCCTCGTATGCATCAGCTTGAATTTCTAATTCTGTCAAACAGGTAACAAATTCAAATATAAGTAAATTGTTCCAGAACAGGCACACTGTAGAACAAAGTTGATGAAGGGGAATCATTTCAAATTTCTAGATCATATTAATATAGAGACTTTTAGGTGATAGAAGCATAATAATATTTGGCATAGATATTATAACACATGCATTATGGTGTTATACATGGAGCACTTTTTAACATTACAAAGTACGGTAATTTAGCCCAATTATTATATTTCTGTCTTTAGATATTATTGTAATAACTTAGATCATCATCATAGAAATCAGCATAGATAACAACTTGAACAGATCAAATATATATTTATGGGTTATAAAAGGTGTTACAAATTTAAATGACCAAGTTATTTTGGACAGTAAGTGTAATTTTTTTTTTTATAAAAATCAAGTAATAAATATTATATAATCAACAAAAATAATATAAGATAAAATAAAATAAAAATATAAACAAACTAAAAGGCTTATGTAAACCCCTATATACATATATATTATGTCAGCCAATTTCACATCTGCAAGCAAAACCCTGTCCACAATGCACACACACAACAATTATTTCCAAGATTAAGTACAGAGAATGCGTTCAAATCATGTATATGAAATATCTAGGATCATCAGGGAGTAGAGAAGGAAAACCAAGGAACTGAGAACTGAAGACATTAGGTAAGCTGCAAGAATTTCCACAATCTATGCTAATGCAATTCGCTATAGTGTAGTGTACCATGGCTCACCATTCCAAGCACCATAGAAATATGTGTGTGTGTGTGTGTGTGTGTGTTTGTGCATGTATTAAGTTGTATTTAGGAACTGCAACAAACCCAGTAAGTTAAGATAAAAATAAACAAAACCTATTAAGGAAGCTGCTTTATCAGGTGTAGACAATGCATAGGTCATGTGACAGCAGCTATGAAACATGGGGCTCTTAGCAGCTGCCATATATCTTGTTCTTAGGATTCTTATTAGTATAAAAAAATGAAAATAACATTAATAATCCAAAACTAAATTTTCCTGAAGACAACACAACTTCTCCCATTGCTAAACTAATTACTGCATTTGTACCATAATTGTTAAAAAAATGTCATAAATGATGATGGCAAAAGAAGTCGGAGGTGCAGAAAACATTTAAGGAGGAAAAAACTGGCATGAAAGGAACATGAGATCTAAGTTCTATGAGAAAATTTTTGGACTGAATCATTTGTATGTTAAAAAAATCAATACTACAGTAGACTGAGTAGCATCACATAAAGAAAGACACGTACTGGATACCATTCTTTTGTAACAGAATCTGGGCGATCCCTTCCACCACTGGGTGCAATCCAAATAATTTTTGATCCACCCCTTCAATGAGAGAAAATTATTAGTGGAATTACACTCCAAAAAGCAAGTATTTGAGGCTGTCATTATATTTTTTTACATTTTAATAGAAGGGTAATAAGGGTAATGTGCAAATTTCTGGGAAATAACTAATATTTACATTGGTTATCCATATACTAATTTTATAGCACAATTTAAACACAGGCAAACCTCTACCAAGGTCATATTTTGCAAAGTAGATGTATCATTTCAATACAATTATGGCTAACATTGCAAAATAGGAATTTATACCACTTTTCATTTCTGGCACAAATTACTTATCATGGGTCGTGGCCATGGAAAATCATTTCGAATCTTGAGCCTAGAAGAAACACTTGGTTGCATTATTTCCCAACAAATCTCTCGAAGCTTAAGCTGAAATCGATGGGTTAAGCGTTGTTTTTATGTTTAAAGTCCCCCTTGTTGTATTGTATTGTAATCCCTTGCTTGGGGCCTACCACTATGTATGATCTTTCCATTACTAATGAATCAAACCTTTTTTCCTCTTATATGTATTTATATGGCAACTTAAATAGGTTGAGCTCTTTGATACATTACACAAAAATAATATATTACATCTTGCTCATTGAATTTCCAATGATTTTACATTTACTAATGTTGTGTTGATATAGAGAGAAACGTATATTATTATGAGAAATTTAACAAAAGAACAAAACATAGAATTTAGTCTCGTCATACCATAATACACTCCCAGACCCATGCTAAAAGGCCGATTCTTAAAGTACTTCATAAGCCTAAAATACGAACCCTAGACGCTCATTTAGAATCGGTCACCCTAAGCTAATCGAAATAACTTAATGGGCCTCAACCTTAACAGGCTTAGCCCCAATACTATTTTCTCTAACAATCCTGCACTCTCTAAAACAATCTTGTCCTTAAGGGAGGTGGTAGACTCCAGCTATTTGGAATGGTTGTGGGGGTGGTGGTGGTGGGCAGTGCCTAGAAGTTCTGTGGTGCCAACAGACAATTACAACAGTAGCACTTCTCTATGATAGTGGCAATGCAAGGCAGTGGCAATGTAACTCCTATTTGGGGGAGTGGTGACCAACAGAAACAGAAATTTTGTTCTGTTTTGGGCTAGATGGCTAGTGGCAGCGAATCCAGCAACTCAGACCATTGTTACAGAGCAAAAGAAATTTATTATGAAGAAATTAAACAAAGCCAAAAACTAAAGGAATTTCTTCTTTTTACGGAGATGGTCTCCCTATAACAAAACAAAAGGTTGATTCTTGAAGTCAACAACATCATAAGCCAAAGTCCTAACTTGATGAATTTTCCTAATAATAACTCAAAGGGAACATCAATGTACCTCAAAAGCATTGCCATCTCTTTCAGGCTTTTTGTGTTTGCTCTTTTTTTCATATCTGTTAGCTTAGGGTCGTCATTCATGTGCTTCTTTGAATATACACACAAAAGATTCCTGATCAATCATAGCTCAGTTAAATACTTCATTAAGCAGGTGACAGCATTTAACACAGATGAACTGAGAATAATAAAGCACCTCCCCATACTAAATGGTTTGCAAAGAGGATCAGTTACCACCCTATCCCCTGCTACGTAAATCTGCATATGTAATCGAAGGTTGGCAAATGAGAATTTTAAACTTGTATTTGAATAATTACAAATTTATCATCACCATATTCTCAGCAATAAACGGATGGGTAGATTCAAGCAACAAAGCAATAACAGCTGGATCAGCTTCTGTTTGGTGGTTGGAGATTAAAATGACGTTCTCACCCTGAAATTTAAGACATACATTACTAATTACATGTGCATGGTCAGCCTATTACAGCACGATAAACATGGCATTGGCAATTGTGGACAACAAAGAAAGTTAGCAGAGACAGTTAAGATTCCTCTTAAGACACAATGATACCTTAAAAAAATTCTACACTCAAATTTAATTTGTGACAACACTTGAACAGAATCAACAACCAAATACACAGATGGATTATGTACTGTAAAGGATAAATATAGGGTAGAACATGCAAGACAATAAAACAGAGAGGCGAAGCCCATAAGGTGAGGTCATAACTCTTAAGTTGCCAAATTACATTCCTGAAAATGAGTACGGGACCTTAAAATTTTCCAGAATGACAAGTAAAATTTGGACACACGAGTCCAGGTGAAGAAGTGGTATAAAAACTTTACAGGAAACCTAGTAGCATTAAATCTAGAAGAGAATTTATGTCTCAATTGAATAAAATGGCGCATGAAATTCTCAAAGCTGAATCCATAGTGAGATGGAGGCTCAAACAATGATGATAATGTGATTCTATTATATTATATAAACTTTTTCAGAGTAAATAAACTGCAAGAGACATAATAGATCAAGCCAGACAATGGGAAAGAAATATGACACAGACCAATCATAATAGACTACAAGATAAAATATACACCTGCTGAAGCTTAGTTTCCATCTCATTGAAGAGAGGAAGATTCCCAAGAAAAGAATTTCTGATCAACAGAAAAAGAACAGGAATCAGCTTGTGTAGAAAGTACAACCAGAAAGTAACACATACTCGCAAATCAGTTGACGTTAGAAAAGAGTATGGAATAATGAGTACAAAATTCCAGTTTTCAAACACTACTTATATAGCTCATAACAAGGAAAAAAAAAAAGTTGAAAAAGTCATCAACCAAGGAGTTAATATTGGTCTGGACTCTGGAGCAATGAGTCTAACCTAATTCAACCAAATTTGCATTGTGTTAGGTCTAGATTTATAGGATTGAGATGGGTTTTTTTTGTGTTTTTCTTTTTTTGTGGATGGCAATGAGTTGGTCTTGCTAAGCAGCATTCACAGTAGGATCCAAGAGAGAGATTTTACTAATGCATTTAATATTTCCTTCTATTTAGTTTAGTGGTCCACATCCCAAACACATGCAAGAACTAAGTAATCTGTTTTGAGGGAGTTTTGATAAGATTAAAGTCTGATATAAGTAAAGGTAAGATCAACTACCAAACATCACAGCAGATTCATATTACAAGAACTAATGTATAGAGAAAAGACTCAACAGTTTACATTAACTTTATCACATAATTAATTTAAAAAATTATGCAATGGGACTGTTCAGACCCAACTTCAGACAAATCAACATCCCAACCATATAGATAAATACCTAAATAGACCCCACCCATTTCCCACACTTTCATTTTATACAGTCTATTTCAACCATTAACTTCAGAACCACGTAAACAACTGCACATTTCTTAAGAAGTCTCACAGATCACTTCACATAATGTTACAACATACAGAAAATCATGGTCATTGATTTACAAAAAAAGTACTTTTGCTTACCATTAGCATTCACTCACCAGGTAAAGAGAAACAGATCAGTGGCTATTGTCTAACCTGAAGTCAATCAATGGACGAATATATTTTTGTCCAAACATGTAGTAGTCAAATGGTGCTCGAATGGCTTCATGATAGGGTGAGAATTGAAATGGGTCCTGCAAATTCCATCTTATGTTTAAGATGATTACAGGTTGCTGAATGTTTCAGTTAGAAAACAGAATAAACATAAACAGTAATGTGACTACCAATACATCCATGAAAATACGATCCAAAGCAATGGCCATATTGGATATAATAACCTCCTTAGCTTTGGGGTGTCCACTATAGACAACCTGAATGTTAAGACACAAGAAAATGAAATTGCATCTATTTCAGATATTTGAGAGCCATGAACAAATATATATATATATATATATAATTCACCTTATTGCTTGTTGCTTGTTACGACAATAAATAAAGACAACAGTCAAGTTCATCAGCTTTTCAATTTCAACTAAAGCTTATATTTCAAGATGAAAGCTAAGCTTCAATATGCTTCAGAAAATTGCACAAAAAAATAAATAAAATATGTTCAAAAAATCCCAAATTAAAAATTTTAATAGTTAAATCCATTTTAGAACAATAGTAATGGCATTGTATATCTATATGAAAATTAATAATTAAAATTTACTAAAGAATTTTAGCACATATATACTATTACTATATATTCACATAATTTTAACAAAAATAATGGAATATTGTTGGAAACCATTTGCAACAGTGTAAATGATTATATCAGTTTAAAAATAAGTAGAAAAGTCTGTTCCTTCCTTTTTCCCATTTTTTTTTTTTTATTTAACTAACTTTTTTGGATGTACATGATATTTTAAATACATGGAAGATAAATTGATACATTGCATAGTAATGAAGCAAGATAGTTGTAAATAAGGGTAACTTAAGTTGATTTACCAAAACCCAGTTCAATTTTTAGGTAATGAGTCAATTATGAATATGAGTTACATCATTTTTCTTTAGGTTACTTGGCTCAAAATTGACTTACAACCACTCATATGATGAAAATTCTCGGAAATATATATAAATATATATATATATATGAAACTGATGCGTTCGGGTCTAATTTTCTGGAAAATCGTTTTAAAATCTATGAATTAATTTCATAATAACTAAAAAGTTTAAGTTGAGGTAACGATAAGATCAATGGTAAGAGCAACACTCAACAATCGTCTATGAAAGTTGATATCTACATTTTCCTAAAAAAAAAAACAGAAAGAAAGGCATTCTAGCAAGTTAAGCCACAGATTTCCAGGATGAATAAGAATAGAGAACATATATAGCATGTACATAGCACCTATAAATGCAAACAAAGTAAGAAGAAATAAAGCTTTTTTATTTACACTTAAGGCCAATATTGGAGAAAATGAAACAAAAATACATACAATGGCTTTGATAATCAGACCTAATCTCCATCGGAAGACAACCCATAAAGCAAAGCCTAAAGAACAAAACAACTTCACACATAACATACTCATTACAGAGGTGGTATAGTGTAATTGATATATAGAAAAAGATGAAGTTAATGAACTGAATATTTTAATGATATAGTTTCTCTGCAAAGTCTAAAGCCCATCTGTGATATTTTCTTTTATCTAAGTGAGCAAAACTTGCAAAATTTAAGGGTTCATCAAATAATGCAAGATATGCAGCATAAGAATGTGACTATATAAAACCAACATGTTGATTCTAACAGATAAAAGTTTATGATATACTAGGCCTAGTAAAAACATTGCACCAAGAATAAGATTAATTTACTGCATTTCGGTAATTGTAGTACAATTCCTCCATCCCCTGAGCAATATGCGCTGGCAATTTTCCAGCTTCAGTTTCCTTCTGTATCAGCAAAAGCAAATCTGGAAGCACATAAGAGAGAAAGTAAAGTTTGTGGCATTCATAGTCACAGAAAGTTATTTACAAGTAATGGTGGGATTCCACACCAAAGCTTTCACCTAAAACAATAGAGCACACATACAAGCTGCATATAATTATGAAGATTGGGGTATTAGCATGAGATTGTGTGATGACATAAAACAAGGTATTGAATCAGGCAAATGGAGCATCTCAAAGACAGGGTAAAGGATCAATATTGAATCATGATAGTTCACATAAAGCAAAGAAATAACTGAAAAAAGGCACTCTATTAGAAATTGGACTGGATTTCATTCCCTTTCCAATCCACCGCCAGAGAAGTACAGTGAATCAGATTTCCGTAAAATGATTAGAGATTCTGAAGGTGCAGCACCATAATAGAAAGTTGTTTTGCCACAAAATCCTGAACTATAGGAGAGACAGTTCTGGAACACAAATGTAACACAACGGGATAAAGCTAACATGAGTGAATCACCTCATAAGGATTTGCTATTACTCAAATTAAAGGACATTAACAAAGTGAACAATGCATAAGTTAGACAGGCTTCATACTATCCAATGCTTTAATTGTCCTCTAAAACTAAAATTTCATCAGGTCCACCCATAGTTAAAGACTAACTAGAAAATACAGTAGCACATGACTACAAAGAACTTTCTAGTTGATAAGAAGAAATACCATTTCAGGCTACATGAGTTCATTTATCTGCATTCATACACAGTACAAATATCCCTAAATGTAATATATTTGTTACTATTGTCTATTGTATTAACAAAACACAAAAAAAATTACACGGTGACGGTTTAAAGTACAACTAAAAAGTCCGATCACTTTTCAATCAACGTAAACTTTCCAATTGTAAGAAATGTAATCAAATCAGTTTCTAAAAATAAGCAAGCATATCCTTTTTTGAAAATAAAAATAAAAAAATAAAAAATCTGATAATGAAGGCAGTGATTGCATCAAGTTCAACACTACTATGATATACATAAAAACCATGTGGTGAAGTGCCAAATGTAGAGATAAGATGTGCAGTCAACTAACATCAGATCCATAGAAAAGTGCACTAATTAACTCTGCTTATCTATCCATCCAACCATAGTCAAAGACTTAAAAAGAACATATGCGAATCAAGATACATACAGAAAACAACTGAATTAGCACATAATGAAGAACATTGAACAAACTTTTTGAATGATTAACATGAGAAAAGGCATATTTATCGTCTTTCACTTGAAAGGGTAGGGATATTAAGAGCACACAGTCAGTTTCAGATTTGACTGCACCAAATTGTTGAACATCTAAGGTTTAATAAAGAGCAAAAAGTTTCTCCAGCAAGCACTAGGCAACAAAAATTCAAACGACCAGACATTAATTGTCAAGAGTAACTCAGTACAGGTTCTGATGAAGACAACATTCCAGCTACATTGTTCAAGGATTATTTAAGAAGCTCACATTATCTCAAAATTTCTCAAAATTTTAACAGAGATGTTGAATATGTCCCGCAGAGGAAAAATGTGAGAACTCCTTTGGCCTCTCCACTTAATACCAATTGGTTTTAGGTTGAAAGCCCGGATCCTTGACATGATATAAGAGCCATAGTGCCTGTCCCGTTTGTATTTTCGAGATTATCATCTTGAGAGGAATTGGCTTATAAGGTTGAAGGGTCTCTCCATTTCTCCACTTAATACCAATTAGTTATAAACCCTTCCCACTTCTCCACATAATACCAATTAGTTTTAAAACTGGATCCCTTCTCAACAACAGGTTGGACAGAGATTCCATATCTAAGTCAATCTATGTAAACTCGTGTAGTATTTTATAGCATTGTATCGGTAGCAATGCTCGTTGATTATACCGCTCAAAAAACAAAACAACAAGAAAAAAGACATTCAGTAAAGGTCTTTATACACACAAAAATGCGTCCTTTTAAGTTGTGTTCTTTCTTGTTCCAATTATAGACTCTCATACCAAACTCCGAACCAGTATCTTCACTAACAAACCCAACAAAAAGTAACAATGCAAGATAAATCTCCTTAAAAAACAGCTCGGAAACAGAAAGTTAAATCACCGACAGAAAAATGCAAAAGCACACATCACCAACTACATGAAAAAATAATCAAGGAAAAAACAGTAAATAGCTAAAACTGACCTTGCTCAGTTCGCGCATCGAGAAAAGTTTGAACCGGCGAAACATCGCCGTGGTCAGAGGCGGAGACCGAGTCAGAGTCGACGACGGCGGCAGCAGCAGCAGCCGTAGTGCTGAAGGAGCTCTTATTACCATCAAGCGCCTTTGCCGTTCCCCGGAGATTGGGAGCGAAGAAAAGCAGAGAGGAACAACGGGCGACTCGGCCGACGGATCGCAGGGAGTAAGAGATTGTTGGCGCAGGAGAAACCCTAGAGTAGGCGAAGATAGCAGTAGAAGCAGAAGCTGAAGTAGAGAGAATCATTGTAGGGTAGAGGTCATCGGCGCGTGCGGAGATGATGATATATGAAGAAACGGCGGCTGCGGCTGCGGCTGCTTGTCGCCTGTCCGTTGAAATGTGACTCAAATAATTATTCAGTCGTTGGGAACGCCAAAATTGGATAATGCAATTGCAGAGCACCAAGATACACATTTAATTTATTCATAAATTTGGATTGGATTTTAAATACACAATTCTATTTTTTTAAAAAAAAAAATATTAAATTAAATATTTATTTTTTATTTTTATATTATACTTAAAAATTAATTTTATATTTAAAATATCATATCAATATCTATTTATATAACATTATTCAAATTCAAAATTTTTACTATTTAAATCTCTAACTCAAATTTAAATCCCAAAACAAAAGCACCCCTACCATACAGGCTATCATGTTCCCATAAAAAAATTACTCTTGGGTATGTATGAAGTTTTACAATATAAAATAATTATATTTGTAATAATATATTTATAATTTAACTAAAAATTAAGAATATTTTTATATTAATATATTATTAACTTTATATTTTTGAAAAATATTGACAAAAATAAGAAAAATAGTATTTTAAATTGAAACAAAAAATCTTAAAATAAAAGCAAAATTGCACGAAACTCATGTATTGTTTCACAAGACCTTTACATAAAATATATATATTGCTTATGTTCCTTAAGTATATTCAATTAAAATTTCGTAGAATTTTATTGAATTTTTAAAATTTGTATTCGAGCAGACTTTTGAAAATGATATAGAGATGATTTGAGCCAGAGTCAATTCTCCAAATTCATTTCACATTAGACTTGTTGAAGTAATATACACATTATAAAATTATGCTAAAATTTTAATCTAATAAAACAAATTAATATATTGAATAATAATATAATAAAAATTAAAAATTTTAATATATAAAATAGGATTATGCTATAATTTTATATATTTACTAATTATATATAATATATAATGAAGATAAAAATAATGAATAATTTAACAATATTTTTTTAACTATATTACATTTTTTATTTAATTATTTGAATTTTTTTTATCTACAAATGTGTTCTATATAAATTTATATAAATCAATAAAAAAATAAATATTTTACAATCCTACGAAATTTATACAAATCCATAAATAATCCAATCAAATTTATAAAATTCTATTTAAATCAATACATAAAATCCATAAAACTCTGGCTATAAACTCTGAAATTTCTAAATCCATATAAATTCACTGACTTTTTAAAATCCTACAAAATCTCAAATGAATACACTCTCCTAAGTATCCAATTTCTTTTGCAAGTAGAACTTTGAATATTAATATTTATATTCATACATAGAACAAATTAAGAAAAAAATAGGTTAAAAATAATTAATTTTTTATAAAACGATTTAAACATGAAATTTATATCACAAGTAATAATGTTTAAATAAAAAAATATTAGCGGAAGCAAATATGATAATAAAACAAACCTCCAGCCATTGTTAAAATCAAATATGTGTTTTAGATCTTGTTCTTCTAGAAACCAATAGGTTCGAACCTTATGAAGATGTTGGGAAGATGTTGTTAGACTCTTGCTCTCAAGTAGTGACAGTGTATTCTAATTTATTAGAGTAGATCCGGTAACACGTACGTATGAGTATTTATGATTAAAAAGAAAAATCGTTAATCACGATTTTTCTGCCACTTCTCACGTAAATTATTAATGTGATGGACTTAATGGAAGAAAAAGTGGGCCACAAATTAGGATTAGTTTAGTTAGATAAAATAATTCAAAATAATCAAATTGATATATATATCTGAATTAATATCACAATTAATATGATTAATTAATCAATTAATTTAAACTAACATTCTCTCACTTGATCCGCTCAAACCATCACAAACATAACGAAAAATTTTACATACAAATCATGACGGTAGGTCTTATAGAAACGAATGATACCTTCAATGTATCATGATATGTCAAGTGTCTCAAACTAAATTCACAACTCAATGAATAAATCCTATATTTATTCTGGGTTAAACTGAAGTGAGTTTTCTCAAGAACAAACTAATATATGCACAATAACGAGAGAAAACATTAAACTTAATAGTCTCAAATAACAATGTGCGCAAATAAATTACATTTTAGAACCAAGTCTCATACTTGCTACATGATCCCTGAAATTCTTTAGTGGCATGCCTTTAGTCAAGGGATTGTCAACCATCAACTCTGTACTAGCGTGTTCAATGACCACTTTATTTTCCTTAACACGTTCTCTTAAGGCTAAATACTTGATCTTGATGTGCTTACTTCGACTCCCACTTTTATTTTTTTTAAGTCATAAAAATTGCAGTAGTGTTGTCACAGTACAACTTGATCGGTCTAGAAATAGAGTGTTTTCCGATATATTGTTGGAGGTGTCAAGTATGTCGCCTAAGGAGGCGTTGTTGACATTCTTGGAGGGCCTAAGGCCGTGGGCTAAGTTGAGGATTAAGGAGAAGCTCCATTCAACGGTCAATAAAGCAATTAGGTATGCTTAATGGTTACTTGAGGTTGAGCAAAATGAGCCCAGTGAGAATGACCAATTAAGAGGGATTAACCAAAACAGAAGTGGGGGGAGACCAAACTTGACAAACTCCACGGGCTAGTGATACCAGCGAGACTTGGCAGCAATCCACAGCTAGGGTCGAGAATGCGAGGAGGCCAGGGCTGACAGGAAGGTGTTCGAGGAGGAACCGTCTAACCCGTTACAAGTGCTCGACTCTAAGTTTGGATATGAAACTCTTCAACCATACACCATGCGAGCTAGCCTCGAAACATGAAACAAACTCAGCCTCCATAATGGAAATAGTAGTAATAGACTGCTTCGTACTTCTCCAAGAGATAGCTCCACCAGCCAACATGAACACATAACCCGATGTGGATTTCCAAGTGTCAATGCAACCAGCATAGTCCGAATCGGAGTAGCTAATCACTTTCAACACATCAGTTTGTCTATACATGAGCATGAAATCATTTGTACCTTGAAGGTACCTCATCACTTTCTTTGCAGCTTTTCAGTGGTCAACATCCGGATTACTCTGATTTCTTCCTAATACTCCGGCAACATATTGCTATGTCAGGCCTTGTGCAAACCTGAGCATTCATAAGACTTCCGACTGCTGAAGCATAAGGGATATTTCTCGTGTGTTCCCTTTCAAGGTCATTTTTCGGACATTGACTCAAATCGAGTCTGTCACCCTTCACGATAGGAGCTACACTCGGTGACAATCTTTCATATTAAGTATTTCTAGAACTTTTTTATATAGGCTTCTTGAGACAAACCCAAAAATGCCTCGATCTTTATCTCTATAGATTTTAATGCCAATGACATAAGATGCATCTCCCATATATTTCATATCAAAGTTCATTGAAAGAAATTGTTTCACCTCATACAACATTCCTTTATCATTAGTCGCAAGCAAAATATCATCCACGTACAACACAAGAAAGCAAATACAACTCCCACTAACCTTCCGGTATATACAGTGATCCATGACGTTTTCTTCAAAGCCGAATGAAGAGATAACATCATGAAATTTCAAATACCATTGGCAGGAGGCTTGCTTCATTCTATATATGGATTTATTAAGCTTACAGACTAAAATTCTCCACCATTAGAGGCAAATCCTTCAGATTGTTTCATATAAACCTTTTTTCCTTTAGATCACCATTTAAGAATGTCGTTTTCACATCCATTTAATGTAACTCAAAATCAAAATGAGCTACTAATGCCATGATCACACGGAGAGAATCTTTCTTAGATACCGGAGAAAATGTCTATGTGTAATCAATTTATTCCCTTTGAGTGAATCCTATGGCGATAAGTCTTGCTTTATGTCTTTCGATGTTGCCATTATAATCTCTTTTGGTTTTGAAGACCTATCTGCATCCAATGGCTTTTACACCATTAGACAACTCGACAAGATTCGAGACTTTGTTCGGTGCCATAGAATCCATCTTGTCTTTCATAGCATCATGCTATAAATTGGATTCCTTAGAACTCATGTTTTGTGAAAACGTTTCAGGATCATTTTTGACTTCTATATTGTAGTCCGATTCTTGAAGATACACCATACAGTCACTAGAAATTGTTGATTTTTTTACTCGTGTAGATCTTCTCAATGTTGTTCCATCATTATCATGAAGAACTTGCTGACCAACTGATTCATCATCAGGTTGTTCAACATTTTCTTGATGTTCTTCATTAACAACTCGATTACATGATCATTTTCAGCAACTTGTGGAACTTCATTAGTTAATCGTCTAACACTCATTGGAACTTGAGGAGTGTGGAAGACAATCAATCTATCACTCGATTAAGTAGGTTGAGCTCTATAGTTATCTCTTTTAGAATGAGTATCTTAGACTTGATTACTCCCACTAATCAAGTCATTATCGAGAAATTTAGTATTTCTCAATTCCACAATTCTAGTGTTATGAGATGGACAATAGAATCTATATTCTTTGGACTTTTCGGCATATCCAATGAAATACCCACTAATAGTCCTTGGATCTAGCTTATTTTCTTGTGGATTATAAATTCTCACATCAGACGGGCATCCCTAAACACGTATATGTCACAAACTCGGTTTCCAACCCTTGAATAATTCAAAAGGTGTCTTTGAGAAAGCCTTAGTTGGTACTCGGTTCAATATATACGCAGCCATCTTTAGTGCTTCAGTACACAAGAATTGAGGAAGTTTTGCATTACTCTTCATACTCCTTACCATGTTCATTAATGTTCGATTTCTTTTTTCTGAAACACCATTATGGTCTGGAGAATCAGACATAGTGTATTGGGCAACAATTCCATTTTCTTGAAGAAATCTCGCAAATGGACCGAAAGCTTGTCCATTTTCTATGTATCTGCCGTAATACTTACTACCTCTATCATATCTGACGATTTTAATTTGCTTTCCACATTGTTTCTCTACTTCAACCTTGAAAACTTTAAAGGCGTCTAAAGCTTTATTCTTAGAATGAAGTAAATAGAGATACATGTACGTGAATAATCGTCAATAAATGTGATGAAGTATCCCAGACAACTTGTATCCATGTTTGGACAACAAATGTCTGTATGAATAATTTCCAAAAGAT